TATAAATAAAAAGAGAAATTTAATCATTGGGTTTGGATATTTTAATTTTCAAAAAGAAATCATAGCATTCCTCTAATTTCTCATGTATTAATAGGATTAGAACGTGGATTATACTTGAGAGCCTGCTTGATAATTGGAAAAAGAGACCAGGTACTTCTGACTGTGCATGTTTAAAACAGCATGCCGGTTGGACACAAATCGGAGTAGTGGTGCCGTCTTAGTACTATTATTCATGGTGTATAGACATTACTATATACAAGAAGATAATATGCCATAACAATTGTTGACACACTGTAGATTTCCTAACGAAAACATCTTTCAGATGTACTGAAAAGGCAATGGCGATCATTGTTCCCTCTTTCTACAATATGACAATGCTGATTGTATTGTTCAGACATCAACTGCGACCATGTGTCGACCATACTGTTTTCAATGAGCCTCAAACAGCACCTTGACAATTTCAATTGTCGCACGAGAAAAGCTCAAAGGTCGCCATTTTGTGCACATCCCTTAAGATTTAAGGCGGAAGCTTATTTAAGTATCTATAGTTCAAAATATTTTTATGTTATGCAGGACAAAAACGAAAACATATCTAATACCCAAATCTTACTGTACAATTGAACATCTACCATTGATTTTCCTATTTGATGATTATAGTTGACTGAAGAAGAATTTGAAATTCTGACCATGTTTGAATGAGTATTATTCTATACAGAAACTAGAATTGAATAGAAATCAGCAAGGTGGAAGTAATCATTTCCGGTTCATCAAATAAGGTCTAATAAACTGGATATTGAAGCCTAACGATTACATTTCGTGCTTTATGCGTTGACTGTAGTCAATTTGTTAAGAGCTGATATCAGATACCGATAGTTGGGTAAAGCGATTGATTAGTTTAGGTGTTCTTTTCATTTTTCTCAACACAATAACTTTCTTATAGACGATTTCTTTGCCGTGATGGAAACTACATTATTATATTTTCCACATTATTTACACCATTGCAATAATCCTTTTAACACAATTTTTAAGCTTTTATTTAGAAACACGCAATAAATCCGCACGTTGATACTGTCAAACATAAATTCTATCAACATATTTAATTTAGTTCTAGTAGTTATTTGCATCAACGCTACCTTGCACATAAGTAACCGTTAGCAAACAGATCTCCTGGACGCATCGGGGTATCCAGATGCTGCAGTAAAGTGGTTTATGAATAAATGGTTCAAAAACATCATATTGAAATTCTCGGAGGCAACGATTACTATAGTTTTGGCAATTGCATTATGGTCAGGTGTGAATATGTAAGACGATACAATGGTCAATCAAAAAGCTGATTTTGGTATATAATGTGTGAAAGGTATAGACCAATTTCCAAATTTAGCTCAATACTCTTTGTTTTTTACATTACATCGAATTATTGGAGGAGGCGTAATATTTCTCTGAGGCTATATATCCTACATTATATACGGTGTCTGAGTAGATAATAATGATATTAATATGTCAATTTATGATCATTCACCACCTCTTTATCTTGTCCTCGCAGTCGCGACCTTCTACAATGCTAAATTTATTTTGATCTAGTAGCGTTTTATGGTCTAAAATAAATTAAGAATAATAATTTTGTAATACAATCTCATTTTGTACAGTATATGTCTGTAGCACCAATCTCGTCTCCTCCACCATGTTCGTAGTTTAATGATTCAATGTTTCTTCAGAAGCCCGGTTAGTTATTTGAGATGTTTCTCAGTAGTTTTCGATGGTAACGAATTTCTTTTTAAAATTGTTTGTATTAATAATTATGACTTGTAAGTTTTCGAGATGATCACATCCTTCAGACAATTTCCCAGCAGTTCACCTGTGAGAGCATGTAAGCAATCTTACACACACGATTAAGAAATCGAAATATATTAATCACATATAAGGTGTTTCGAAATTAGAACTTCCACTGCAAAGAGAAATAGATATGGACAAATCAAAAAGTGATTCATAATAAGTATTTATGAAAGTTTCTCTCTGAGTATTTAATATTTTATGTGGCCCCCATCTGCCTCTACCACAGCCTGCTTTCATTTCAGCAAATCGCACAAATCAATCACTAATAATCAAACTCCCCGAGAACTTTGGTCACCTCTCTTTGTTGGTCGTAAAGACTTGGTATATCATCATTATACACCAATTAATTGGTATAACAGCTTTAATATCACACAAAACCCATACGAAGAAGATTTGTTACTGCATTATAGTAATACTTGTTGAACTTGTTACAAACTCGTTTGATTTCAGTTTTGTTATATGTTTCTACTTCAAAGAACCAATTAAAGCGTCTAACACCAAGTAAAGTATTAGTTTTCTTGCGAATAATTGTGTCTATTAACACAAATTACTTTCAAAAGATAACTTATTTAAAAGCTTGAAATACTTATTAAAAATTATTGAAATAACATTACTACCGTCTGACAAGGAACAAGTCGAATGAAATCTAACAGAGTGTGTAATATCTGTTATCATGTGGAATAGCTTCTCTCACGAAACATTTATCAATCCGTCTGAAGAAAGATACAACCCGATACTCTCACAATCGCCTGTAGCTTCGGGCTTCGCGACTCCATCACTTTGATATATTGTCTCAAAATCTGTACTGAATCTCATTGATTCTCAATGATAATATCAACAAGGCAATCGTTCGACATAGGAAATGCAGACAAATTTATCTTCTTGATGTCTTTAATATCTTCAGGGAAATTTCAGTCTGGTTTGGTTTCAGACCTTAATGCCATCCCTCTTCATATTTTATAAACTTCTTTATTTCAAATTGAAGTAAAACAAAAGTACATGAGTTTATACTCAGATGCAGTTCTTTGAAACGCTATCTTTGTACGTGGATCTTCTCATCAAAGAACTACTGCTGTTTTTAATCATATCCTATCTGAACCGTCCTCATTTCCAATCCCGTTATCATTGTATTAGATTGCTACTCGTAGTATGGTTTTGTGGCTTGTTAAAGGGATAGATGCGCCATTTTGAAGGGTTAATTTGAGTCTTTTAGCCTATGTAAATAGTCTTCAGAAATACTAGAAATTTATGGAAATCGTATAATTCCTTCAAAAATATTCCAAAACTTTTACTCACTATGTCTTTTCTAATGACGAGTGGTCATTGAACATTCTAACGCGAATAATTTTGGACTTAGATAGATTTGAAAGCTGTGAACACTACTAATTTGATTAGCTAAAGAAAATCTAAAGTTCGATTGGTCAAAACAAATGGCGCACTTGTCCCTTGAAAGGAATTTTATTTTTATGAACGATATGAAAGGGATTAACAAACAAGCCTTTTAGCCTCTGCCATCCCTTGTAGAGGAAAATATAACCTACCATTTCCGAAACAAGCATTAGTATACCCGAGCTAATTCAAAATCTGAAGCACCTGCCTAGATCATAGGGTAGGTTCTGGTATATGCACTTTCCAGCTCCAAGCTAATCTCCGGCTTATATTTGCCTATTAGAAACAATCCATTTAATCAGAAACAAAAGCAACTGTTAACCTTATCGTTATATTTTTGTTGACATATGAAGTATAAATGAGTAATTGAATCAATATATGATGTGATACAGACTAATTTTATTATACCCGGTACATCTACCATCTTCAGTACAGAATATCAAGTATTGCAGTTTACAGAAAGTTCACCGGTATGAAAAGTGTTATATTTTACTTGTCACAAATAGTTAATTTTGTCATTTGATATACCAATATGTATTATCTTTGAGTAAAGATTAGATTAGGGACTCATTTGATTACCCACAGTCTATCGCTTGAAGTCAACATTAAGCTGAATTAGTATTCTAGTAAGTGCTTCACAGAGTAAGTGTGGTCGGACTCACACCACAGGGACCGTTCCCAAAATAAACCTGACATTTCTCAATGAAAATTTCACAATTTCTTAAAATTTCAAGATTTTGTGTGAAATAAAACCTAGATCTTCAGGAAAGTTACAAAATATCCATTATTAGCTATGTGGACTGTCATATACCAAATCGCATAGTAGCTTTACATTTCATCTTTCATCATATACTAAAATATTATTTGAAGATTACTAGACCATAAATAGATTCATTACATCCTGTACTCTCCGTGTCTGTCTCTTCAAAGTATTTTATACTTGGTAATAAAGTATGTACAACGTTGTCAATATAATTCTTCTCTTCAATTGAATTAATGTCAGCAAATAGAAAGGTCTCCTTGGGGAGTCGTCAATTCTAGCGTACGAGATTGAAGTAGCCTAAATAGTTATATAACTTCATCTATATTTAGAGTTTCCTACTGATACCAATTTTAGATAAACTGTTTAACTTTATTAAAACCCATTATTGTTTTTTTACGGCCAACGAACCGACAGAATTAGTTGTGGGTAGACCATCTAAATTTCAGTCATCCCTATGTGTGTTTTTTTTTATACTTAACAGTGAAATAATTTAATTTCGTGGGCATCTATTCGTGGAGGTGTCTTCATATTGGCATTCGTGGAGGCGAAAATTCGTGTATACCTATCACATCTAAATTATTTGAGTTTTTACAACTTAACAATTCTACTTTTATTACTTTCTTTTCCTATACTGTGTCTGGAGCAATATAATTATTTATATAATATCCCATAATAACCGGCAACATTATTTGTTACTGTTTATAAACCCAATAGAGACGACCATTCACAGTTTTTTATTGCATGGGGAGTACATTTTTACGTTGGCTGACCCACAAAATCCACGAATGTTGAGCCCCAACAAATATTGATGATTTCACAGTGCATCATTAGAATAGTTGGTGTTCTCCTACAGAATTCTCTGATTCATCCGTTTCAATTTCACCAAAACTTTCTTTTTAAATTGGTAAAGATTAATCAATAGTCTTAATTAAATTTTAATATGTTTATTAGAGTGCATTCAGTACACACGTCAGTTAGCATGCTTGCCTGCATCGACTGGTTGGGGGTAGCTTACCTTACCAGCTGGTTGATATGTTTGTGTATGTGTATATTCAGTTGTATTTATAGCAAGAGTTAGATCTTGTCGTCGACATTGGCAGTCGCTCATATAGACTGTAGCGGATCTGATACTGGATACTGTTAGATCATTTAAGTGATTCTTTGAATAACCCAGTGACACAAGTACAAAGAAAATAATAACAAATACTAAAGCTTCTTGAACATGAACAGGAATGTTGAACTCGCGACCACCATTAAAATGACATCGTTTATAGTGACAGTTTCTCCACTTTATGTTAGAGCTTTCTCTGATAGAATCACTTTCAATATTCTGAAACATTTCTAGTTTTTACGTTGATAAAAACAGCAATCTTTTCTTCGTTTTGACAAATACAGATTAGTTGTGAGGACGATAATTCTCACTTAAATTATCATGTGCTTAATCGCCCAATACTACTATTTAAAAGGAACAAAAACTAGAAGAGATTTCTCTTACAGATGACAACAACAAATTGCCTTTATATTCCCTAAGTTGTATTTAGTGCTCGACTATGACCTAGATTCCAATTCCAGGCTTTGATGTTTTTGAAAATGGCAACTTTAAGAAAATTATTTCCTGGGAAGTCGTCAAGATGTATTGAGAAGTTAGAATAAGATCAGTTCACTTCATTTCACTTTCTCACAGCATACTCAACTTGATTAAATAACCAGCTCAAAGGAGATCTTTTCAACATCCGTTTCATTTTCACCATTTTTTGTTCTGTGAAATATTGGTCTTTATGTCGCATTGAAGATATTGATACCAACTGTGTCAATGTCATTACTTGATACAGATATTCTATAATCCCTTTTCAAGTCAGGAGTATTTATAGCACAATAGCAGCGTTCAATTACCGTTTTAGAAAAGATAAGGATATCTTTGTCTATATGGCTTAGATGTACATCATTTACAGTTATAGATTAGTCCGAATAATAGAGAAAAAATTTCACTGCCTTAACAAAAGATAGGTGGAGATAAAATAATGTCCAATGAACATTACATCAAATGTTCACACTGAAACGTTTGAGCTGCAAATTGTTTAAAAGTTTTTGAAAAGGAATTAAGTAATATTGAAATTAAAGTACGATAAGAGACATTCTAATTATGGTCATAATGGCCAAGAATAAGAAAGAAAATTAAAATGCCTTACCATATATTGCAGATTGTTTAAATATTTCTAATGACTTTTTTTTTAAGTTATTTTGAAAAACGATAAAAATCGAAGGCTTCAGTTCACTAAAAATTTTGGATTAAATTTGAAGAAATTGAAATGCTATGTGACTGTATAGTTGAAGACATTGTAAGAAATGAAATGAGTAAAAGATCACGTTCTAACACCATAACGATGATGTGTTATTTGATGCTTTACATGACAATTTCCACGAAGATGTAGTAGTAATGATCAATACTGTGTCATGTTTGTGTTAACGACCTCGTTTAAATGCATGAAGAATGTCGTCCCTCGTTATAATGACTGTAAACTTAGCCACTGTTTGTCCCAATAATTTGTAAATTGGTCTAAGATTGGAATCTTATTTAAATAAATCAGTGTTGCCAGATAGATTGACCTGATTTCTTGAAGAAAAAACCTCTTATGTTAGTCAAAGGGGGAGAGGAGCGGGGTTCACATTTGCTACAGGAAATCGTTCAATCCTCAACCAAAAATAAATACACACAACAAATCATTATGAAGCAAAGGTTAGCATTAAATCAACAAATTTTCTCTGAAACTTCAATGTTTATCAATGTTTATTTGACGAATATTATACCCAGATTCAAATTTATAAAAATGAAAACGGTTAATTGAATTTGTGCTTATAAATTAAGTATAAAGTAACCTACGAGCTCCATCATTTTAGATCTCAAGATCACAGGATAATCTTGTCAGTGCTTTAAGGCTTATGAATCATAGATTACACGAACATTTAATGAGGGATTTCCGTAATCGGGTAAAATCATTTCTGAAAAAGGCATATTCCTTAAGAGTAAACTATTCAGTTATATTTTTATAAGCTCCCGGAACAACTCGACTCTTTGTACACTTCTCGTGTACGTTAATACAAGGCAACAATATCAAACGATTCATATCAAGAGGGCATGGTTACTTAGTTGGCAGCCGGAGCTAATATCGCAGACTAGGTAGTTGTAGGACATTGTTTTTCTCCATAAAAGAAGGGAAAATGAAATGATTTTTTTTTCTTCCTTACACTCTTGACGTAATGACATGCAAGCCTTTGATGTCTGTTTTTGCTTTTTTTTTCAGCCATTCTCTGAAATTTTATGTCAATGACTTTTATTTGAATTTCAACGATTATTAATATGAAATTCATTATCATAATTTTAATTTCAGATATTGTAGAAACATCACCTTGAATTCGGATTATTCATTCTCATATAAGGTAAGGGCAATATCATTTATAAAGTCTGGAATTTCGGACCTTGGAGTCGATCAATGGTCAAGAGTAGTATATTGGTCCATTATATTTATAGATTTCTGCTTAAGGGAACTAATAAAGATGATATATCAATCTTCGTTTGACATACATTTCATCAGTGTGATATTTGCACACATTTATTGTCTCTTTCGTCATCAATGTTAACCGTTAAGAGCATTATCGTCCATATACTCTGCAAGACCATGCTAAATCACCACCAAAGTATAAATACCTCTGGTGAACGATTACCACCCCAAACACTAAATCCAAGCAATCCAGTGTCGAATCAACACTAGGAACTAATGATGTTCTAATGTTGAACAATTTCAAGATTGGACATATGCTATATTTCGTCATATACTCTGCAAGATCATACTAAACCACCATCAAAGTATTAGTCCCTCTGGGAAATGATCACCACTTCAAACAATTCGAATGTCGAAGTCAATCAAGAACAGTAAGGACTTTCGATATGGAGCCATTTCGATAGGACATATGCTATATAGCCAATTAACGTATAGTAGGCTAAATCGATACAGATTCGATGGTCAAAGAAGATACAATGGTATCTGACATTTATCATAATTAAGTGACCCTCTACTTAATAAAAGAGTACACCAATGGACATCATAGTAAAACGTGACTGGAAACGTTGACTTACTAATTACTATAATACCGTGTTATCACACTACAACATAATGTTGACTTTGTGGTCTGGTCTAATCACAATGCAGTTCTCGGAAAAGAGACAATATTGGTATCAGTACACAACCTTTTTTTACCATATAAAAGATAGACAGCATAATTCGTGATCTGAACGTCTTTGCCGTTTCTAATACCCATGTCAGACCGGAACGCGTTGACAACACATTATAATCGAGAAGGTCGTTATACGAGCGTCGTAGCATCTTCATCAACATAGTAAAAGCGCAGTATGAAGGTTACAGTAAGATCGTTATGGTTGCAGTCCGGTGGGACGGAGGTAATAAGTCAGTGTGATAATTAGGTTATGATCTAATGCACGTATTCTATCGTAAGAAACAAGAGACATTCTTTCAGCTCATTCGATGAGACTTTGTGATGATGGTTAAGCATGCCAGATATCTGATAATGATTCACGGTAAGTCAACCTAACCGATGCTCATAGGAATCAGACATCAATTCTTGGGATACCACGACGTCCTGTAATCAAGTTTGTGAGGAATTCGACACTCGGTCAATTATTTGTAACAGGGAAGGGTAGAAATCCTTCGAATAAGATTTGTACTTCAGAACTCTATACGATATTCATTTTGTCATCACACAAAATAATTACAGTTCCGAATTATTGCTGGTATAAGAAGTAGGAAATGGGTTGTTTATTATTGTTCCGATGCAGTCGATAACCCATCACCGCCATTACCAGTTTGTTTAATGAAGCTCAAGTAATGATGGCCAACTAAATTCCTGTATCTAGAACCAATTACAACCTTTCCTTTCTCCTTCACACCTATTTAACCATCTTTTTCATCGACTTTTACCATTGGGAGTTGAAGGCCGGATTTAAAATTGTCGCAATCTAAATGGAAGTCAATCTGAAAAGGTTAATGAAATTTGACTTTCAGCATTAGGTTATTGGAGCGACGAAAGGAAACGTTTTCAGATTTATAATTATAAGGTTTGAATCGAAGACGTTTACACAAGTCATTGATTATTGAGCTGATAATTATTATAGAGATAGATAGTGTGTATTTTTCTTATTTATAACTACGGTAAAACCATTTCAATGTAACGTCTGTAATATCATATCTGAAGTGTTTTTGAGTGGATACGCTAATGAAAAGCAAAACTTCGATTCATTATGAGATATACATATGCATATTATTCCACTGATGGGAAAATTGATCTGAAATTAGATTATGTCACATACTATAAAGATCTGCATAAATTCTTTATGCGTTATCATCCCAAAAGCAATATCGCCATATATACTGTAATGGAGAAGCCGTTTAGAGCTTTTACAACGCTGACTATTTGATACTTATCAGTAGTCTATTGAGGACCTTCTCAATCAAAATATTCCTAGCTTGTAATTAAATTTGAGGATGAGATAGTCTCATTTGGGACCGATATAGCGTGTTAGATGATACTTGCTAGCAGTGTTTAAAACACCGTAGGCAATTTCACGCTCGTCAAATCATGTCCTACTAAATTTATCTTTACAGGTGCTTTTCCGGAAGAGGTGGTAGGGGAGATAATTATGATGAATTAAAATCGATAAAATAGTTGGGCATTCAAACATTGCCCATACTAAAAAAAAACAATATCCTATTTACATAAATATGAAAAGGATTGGGGAGACGTTTTCTCGTATTAATATCGTGCTTCAACAATTTAAAAACTGGGTCGAAAGTATTAAATAATATATGGAATCAAATTAAAGTAGGAAATCAAATATATATCTTGCATATGAGTGAAAAATCAGCTTCCTGGACGTGCGTTGGTGCACCCACAAACATTATCAACGTCGAATACTTTGACACGCCATTGCCTGTATCTCCACTTGATAAACCTTTTATAATGAGGAGGACAAATCTATAATTATTTTGTATCTCTATATTTATTATGTAATTTACTAACCCCTGCCTGATCTCTGGTAAGCAATTAAGTTGTACTGTTGCTTTAGATAGACCATGTATATACATTGTTGCGTGATAGGTCTCTTCAAACATTGTTGATTTTCTTCTTGCTCAGCTTCTGACAACCCGTTATTACAACTCTATTTCTAAACTTTCATTTCAGATAATTAAGGTTTTCTTTAGGTCACTTACTTAAGATAAGTTTATAGAATGTCAGTTTTCATGATCACGACTCTCCCAGATATCC